GGACCAATAACTGATTTGCCATTCTTTGCTGTGTGATCCCTAAAAAAAGAAATGCATGCTTAAAGATGTGAATCACTCTGGTGCAGTTGTTATGACAAGTCTGTTTTATTTACTGTTATTATTTTGTTATGCTGGTGTTTTGAAACGTGTACTTAGCTGTCCTACTATATCATTACATTCATTGCCATAAGTACCCAGTTATAGGAGAGAAAGCACATTTAAGCTGTACTGTGATTTCTAACGTCTGAAATAAATTTCTGTTCACAGAAAAAAGTGCAATAAATGCTTCTAAAAGATTACAAGGGTTTTCATGTGAAGGAATGCCTCAGGAACACATATCAGTATTAGACATTCTTTAGTGAATAGTACATATTTACAGAAATTAGATATAAGAGAGTCTTCACAGTGTAGCTCATATCTGTCTGATCTTGTTTATAAGTACACACCTGCATGAATTTTTTGCTCTTCTGAAGCAGGTCTGTTAAAGGTCTGACTGCTTCTGTTCTCCAGAATTTGCAGGCCTTTCTCATTACCTAACCTTGGAATAAATCAAACCTTGACCACACCCACCAGTTGCCAAATTCAAACCTTTTACGTGATGGGCTCCCATGCCAGTAAGATGTCTATATTTTTATTTAACCTGGGCCTTAATCTCAGTTTATTTACACTGTGTCATGTTTTTGCTCATTCAGGTATCCAGTCAAACATGTAAACAGGTATTTTTAAACATCCCTTTGATCATGTCTCATGAAATAAAGAGTTTGGCTTGGTGCTTCACCTTTGCTCTGCAGTAGTGCAGTGTTTAATGCAGTATTTCATAGTCCAATGAATACTAAGACAGAAGCAGCAAGTGATGACCTCAGTTTGCTTTCATTAGACATGTTCCAAGCAGCATTTGGAAGGAAATCAATTTACTGAAATATGCGTTCAAGGTGCACAATGAAACCAAGTATAATTTGTATGTAAGGGAACTGAGATGCAGAAAATCTTTTAATTTTAGGAGGGGAGGTGGTCTAATCTCAAATTCAAGAGAGAATGGGTAATTGTTTAGTTCTACGTATTCATAGTGGTCTATTACTAGTATAGATATGTTAAAAATGTTTTAAAGCTTATTTACTACTATTGCTTTTTGGTAAATTTGAGATTTTTCAACACTGGTGGGATATCAGTGAGAAGTGTTTTATATACAGTATGTCTGTTGTATCACATTGCATGTCTAAATACACGCCAGTTGTGACCCATAGTTCTGTTGTCACCTCCAGCTGAAACCTAGAAACATTAGGTTTGATGTTTCAATTGTTCTTGGTTTTTCTCTTGGTCTGTAGTGGTTTCTTTTATTTAAAACCGCTTAATTCTCAATGTGGCTGCTAATTATAGGTCATGCCAAGAATGCATTGCTGAAACAACAGAAACCAAACTGATGAAAGATCAATAAACAATTAAGGGGCCTAATTTAAATAGTTTCCATTGCTTTACTTCTTGTGAAAACTACCATGTGAACAACTGCAATAAATGTTTACATTTGAGTTCTTAAAAAAGGTCTCCAGTTTTAAATTGTAATACTTTGGTGCATGAAGAGAACAGAAATAATGAGAATTGCTACAGTGTACTATTAAAGCGTACACTTAAAGTGTACTATTATTTTTATTTTTAGCTTAGTTTTATATTATAAACATGTATTTAGATAGTCCTAAATGTTAACATTTTTTTTAGTGTCTGAAATAGTTTTAGAAAATTGTATTCGGAGCATTATAACAAACGTTACACTCTGTTTATGCATGAATAAGAGGCAGGAGGGTTTTGAGGGACTGTAATAGCAGTTGACCTGCCACTAGAGGCTGTTAAATGCCTCTGTCTTGTAACTAGTTTCACTGGATGTCAATTATTTATTCTCTTATCAGTAAGGAGTGGATTTAACATTGTTATATGGGTGTTAATCATCTGTCTGGGTATTTAAAGGTAGTTAGTGGTTGTTGGATTTAGACTTGCAGTCTGGGGAAGCTACTGAGAGTTTAGATAAAGAGAAAAGGGGTTTCACTTCTGCGTTTCTGGCATTTAAGACTTATTAACTTTGCAACAAACCCTGGTGCACCTTGAAGTCATTGCCATTATGAGTATTTGGTGCTCTGACTGTTGCGTAACTGGTTGATTGGTTTTGTGCAGACCACACAGATGGACGTTGGAGAGAGAGGCGCAGACATGACAGAACAATACTCTTAATTGTTGTCTAGAAGTGACCGATTGATAGGGAGGTCCGAGTGTGATGGGCTGTGCAGGATTGTCCAATCACTACACAACGCCACTTGCAGGGATTGATGGCAGACTGATTGCATGGTGCTGTATTGATCGAGGATTGAAACCTTAGTCACTGTCTCTTAGTGTGGGTTCATTCAGCAGGTCTGCACATGTATAACAATGGCTTTCTTACGAAATGACAATCTTGACAGTTATGTGGTGGAACCCCTGCTCTCCAGGATTGTGCCCCTTTTTTTAAGATGGAATTTTGTACAGGATGTAAAGCTCAGGAATTAGACTAAAGGCACAGGTTTGTCCAGGCTATCGGAGGGTCTGTAAGAAATCCAACGACTTGTGAAATTGAATTAAATCTGTGCTTTCATCCTTCGTACGCATATGTGTTTTGTGACAGACATTGCCAAATCTTAGCTGTTCACATTTGTGCAGTAGGCTGCTGAAAATGGAAAGCTTCCATGGAAATGGAAAGTGCTGGAGCTTAACACTCCTTAATTTAGTCTTTTGTACATTTTTACAGGGATGTGATAATTCACCTAGAACGGAGATCATTCCATTCAAGACATATTAGGCTCTTAATAGATCATGACCATTTATGCTTGAAAAATGCCGTCACTTACCACATGAAACACGACTAAGATGGATTTAAGTTTCCTTGTGCAACAACGGGTAGGAGGCATCTCATAATCCAGTGTCAAAACATTTAAGATTTGTATTTCATGTTATATCTAGAAACAAACCCCGAAGGATTTCTCTGTTTTAACTTGTTTCCTTTAAAGTTACTAATGGTTAATATTTGTGTTGAGGCAGCAGTTTCAAGATATGGCTGTTTATGACATTTAACTGAGCAAGTAAAAGAATTTCATTAGCTTCAGATTGTGCCTCATTGTTTGTTTTATATGTGAGTCAATGGCATTGATGTGGTGTTTTCAATGTTTAGTTTACGTGTATTCTATGTTTAATTACCCTGTTTATATAATTGCCTACACATTTCATGTTGCTGACTTGAAGCACGCTATCAGGAGCAAGCTTATAGTAAGGTTGAAAGGCTTTATTCTGTTGTTTGTTTTGTCAGGGAAACATATTTTGAATATTACTGCTATCTATAACTTAATTTGTCTTTCTTGGTTTTGACAGTTGTTTTAGCATCCCATGACAATACAGTCATAGGTCAGATTCATTGACTGTTCAATAGCAGTAAGCATGATAAACAGGGTTGTGATGATACCTGCAGATAGTTGTGAGTTTTCACATGTGAAGGAAGACATTATGGAAATGTCAGTAATGTTTGCTGCCTTTTTATGATAGTGTATTATTAATACCTTTCTATTTATGATTTTAAAAGTTTTCTCAAGGGAGAATTTGAATACATAGACACACACCAAGGTGTACATTAGAATATTTTGTTTTGCACTATGCACATGACCACTAGTTGACTGTAACAGAAATTCTCCTGCTTGAAGATGACTTTGTTATGTCTTATCATAGTCTTATATTGAAGGAGAATGCCCTGTTAGCTTGCTACTGACTGCTTTTTAATGTGCATAGGATTCAAGTCTGTATTTCGGCTATATGATCTTGCCTGACACATTACATTAGCCTCACCAAAGAGGTAAAAAAAACATCCCTTGAATTTAATAGGCTTTACCAGCCTTGGGGGTTAAGGCTTAAAAAAGGAACTATGCACTTTGCCCTCAATGTAATGCATTTGATATTAAACAGAAATAGACAATATTACAAAAGACAAGTACAGCAATTGTTAGAACCCCTACAAGGTATCTAAATAATGTGAATAAAAATTGGGTGTAAGATCACATTGAATATACTGTCTAGAAAAAAAAAGACTTAAGTGTTTGTGTTAAGACATCAAGTTCCTCAACTACTAGACAAGGGTAGAAGTACAAATGAAAAGAGAATATTAGGATATACAGTTACAGTTGTTCAATATATTAATCCAGATATGTTGTTTCAGGGTTGTAAATAATACTTGCAAGCCTCATTTGGAAAATAAAGGACAATTCTGGTCCTAATTTAATAATTTAGGGGTACCTACAGTTTGTGTGTATAATTTGCTCTTGTCAGTGTCTTGTTGTGTTGATTTTTTTGTGGGTCCAAATAGTGTGTGTCCTTGATGCTACAACAAATATTTATATGTATGTGTGTCTTCTGAAAATGATCAGATGATTTTTTTTCTTTAAAGCAAAACTTCTTTCTGGTACTCACATAATATCTTTGTCAAAATACTCTGTGTCAACTTAATGAAATGCATACTTATAATGCATATACATTATTTTGAAGAAATAAGTATAATGGAAAAGAAGGGAAAAAAACATAAACCAAAATTTACTTTAATTGTTAGAAAAAAGGTTCCCCTTAACAAAATGCAAGTCATGTGATATATGAATTACAACAAACTTAAAACAGTACATCTGTGAATAGAACTGGTACATATCATTCATTGTTGAGCATATACAGTAAGTGCACACGTGATTAATCACTCAAGGTAAAAAGATACATTTATTGCTAGTACTTTCATATACTTTGTTTTTTTTTGTCTCCACTTATCATTCATGCACAAACATGTCCCAAGAAAAAAAAACAAGTGCTTCAACGGGATTCTTGGAGGGATGGCAGGGGAGATGAAGGGAAATTAAGATGTTATTTGCAAATACAGATGGGTGCAGGCTTGGTGGGTTGATTAATTTCTTTGAGAAAATGGAGGGGGGGGGTCAATCATAGATATTACTTACTGTAATTTGCGAAGACCTTGGGATGGGGGAAGTGGCAGGTGTTATCGTGATGCTACTGGTGATTTTGTTGCCGGTCTTAATAGGAGTGCCGTTCATTAATACTGAAGTTCTGTTTTCCTGCACCGAGCAAGGACTCATGGGTCTGGATGTGCTGTTAATGGCTTGAATATAGGGACTGCCTAAGTGGATGTGGATTTTGTTGTCCTCTGTGGTGATGACATTGGGGCCACTGCTGTTTGACCTCTGCAGCTGCCAGCTGTTCTGCCTCTCTGGCGTGACACGGAAGACCGCGTGACTGCCGCTGACCTCCACAGACTCGGTGGACAGTGACCGCTCTGGAGAGCTGGTGGTGACTGCGACTATCTGGATGGGTGACATCGCCCTGTCGGGAGTTCCAGATCCAGATGAGTCTGGGGTCATGGCTCGGGAGTAGGTAGTCATGGTGAGAGGTGACATGGCTCTGTCAGGGGAGCACAGCCCATCAGAAGATGGGGAGCCTTTGGATTTTGTAGGAGGAGATAAGGAGGCATTCTGGATTATAGTAATTCTTTGCTTTGGTATACCCCCACAGTTGGGAATTACTGCAGTGCTGGTAAAAGAGTGAGCATTCTCTGAAGTTGGGCTAGTTATTTCTAGCATGGCAGTATTATGTCCGTGATCAGGTGTCACTTTGATGTGCAAAGGCTGTCCTGGGGTGTGAGTCAGTACCACATCCCCCTGCTGGACGTGGTTCCCATTTTGTCGGGTTAACACTTTACCATTTGGAGGGTGGTGGCTTTCCTTGCTTTTGGCGAAAGGCACCCTTAATTTCTTGTTGTTGTTCAAGTTGTTCACATTATTGATGAGGGAGGGGCTGCACTTGTTGATTGGCTGCTCATTGTTGTAATTGGAGTCGTCCTCAGGATCACTTTCCTCATACAGCTTTCCATTCACAACTGCCTTTTCAAAAGGTGCTAAACTCTTATAATCAGGAGGCTTATTATCTGTTGGGTCAGTCTGCACTTCCTTTGAGGAGACCTGCAAGTCTGAAATCCTCCTCCCATTTAAACCAGGCCTAAGACTTTTACTAAAGCGGCGATACCTCTCCAGTTCCCTAGTAAGATTTTCCATTTCTCGGGCTAGTTCTTTGTTCTTGGTTTCCTGCAGCATCAATTTTCTTTGCAGTGTGACATGGTCTGTTTTTAGACGACAAATTGAGTCTTCTGTACCCATATATTCATGGATCTTTTCCTTCAGAGCTTCTACTTCTCTGGTTAAATGGCTGGACTTGGCCTCTTCCTCCTTCAGGCGTTTGTAGAGAATATGCTCCTGATTAGACTCTTCTTTTTCTGCCAGCTGATATCTAGAAAGCTCCTTTTGGGAGGCCTCAAGCTCTGCCATTAGGACCTTTGCTCGTTCTTGTTCGTTGGAGTACCTCCTTTCCAGAGATTCAAACTCGCCCTCAGTCTTCAATAAGTCATCTTCCACCACCTTCATGTCCTTTAGCTTTCTCCTCAGCCTCTCTACTTCTTGTGTTAGATCCTTTATTTTGTTGTCTTCTTGTTGAAAATGAGTTACACCAGCGAGCTTAATGTGTTCTTGTTTAGCTGCTTTGTTCCTTAAGAATTCTTTCTCCACAGCTTCCAGTGATTGCAACCTTTTTTTCATCATGTTAACTTTGGACTGCAGATCATTTCCTTTCTCTTCCTCTGCTTTCAGTTTGATCTTGAGTTCATCTCTTTCCTTGGTTGCACTGTACATGTTTTCTTCAAGCTCAGCCTTGGACTTCAGGGCTTTCTTGCTCTCCTCAATTAGCTTTTCAGTCACAGATGTTACCTTATCCTGCTCAGCTTGCAGTTTGTCAGTAGTAATATGCAGTTTCTCTTCTGTCAGCTTAAGTTTTTCGGCCATGGTTTTCCTTTCATCTACCAGCATGACTGTCAGTGTCTTCAGTTTGGTGAGGTCTTCTTTCAGTGTAATTTCTGTTTTCTCCAGCTGGCTCTCAATTGCCTCCAGCTCTCTGATTCTCACCTTAAGTGAATCTAATTCATTCGTGAGCTGCTTGCTCACACTCTTCTCTTTCTCCAGATTGCATTTTAGTGAGCAACATTCCTGCTTGCCCTTGCTAAAAGCATCTTCCAGCTTCTCCAGCTCCATAATTCTGCGGTTTAATTTGTCCACCTCAGCTTTCAAGCTCCGACTTTGGATAGCCTCCTTTTCCAGCTTTTTGTTCAGGTCCCGGCACTGATCCTCCATTTTTATGAGTTCCTCATCTTTCCCTTCCATCTCCAGCACTCGCTTCCTTAACTCCTCGACCTCGGTCATCAGGCTGGAGTTCCCACACTCCCCACGGTTGATCTTATCCCTTAGGTCCTGCAGTTCCTCCTCCGTTTTGCGGAGCGTCTTGTTAGTGTCCTCTAGATCATCTATCTGCCTGCTTAGGGTGGCGAGTTTCTGTCGGAGCTGTCGGTTCTGTGCCTCCTCGTTGGTCAGCTTGGCAGTCATGGCCTCCTGCTGCTGATGGAAACGACAGGCCTGATCACGCAGCTCAGCTTCCAGCTGAAAGGCTTTTTGTTCTCCTTCCTGTGCCCTGGCCTCAGCAGAGCTGAGCTTCTCTTGAGCTTGAGCCAAACTTGCTGTAAGTTCCTGGACCTTGTTGCTTTGCTGGGTGAGCTGCTCGGTCAAGCGCTGCTGCTCATCCACCACTAACAGCGCAAACGATTTCAGCTTTGTAAGCTCTTCTTTCAGGCTGTTCACTTTCTTGTTGCTCTCTTTTTCCCTTCGATCCTGGTAGTCCTTTTCCTGGTCGATCAGAAGCTTGAGTCTGAGAGGGAAAGCCAAAAAAACAAGAATAGGTTTGTTAGCTGGGACACAAGAATGATGTGTAAATTAGATGAAGACACCTCATTTAATGAGTACATTATATGCTGAATATAAAGAAGGTTTTCTGCAAGTTTAGAAGTTGCATTATTTATGAGAAATGTCTTAAAAAAGAAATCTGACTAAACAATGCAATTATACCCATATGTTTCAAATATTAGATATGGTTTCCTTTTTAGGTAAAGGACATGCATCAAAAAGTAATTCTGGGAATGTATGACTCAAAACAATCACAAATCTACTAACATTAGAATAATCATTTAGTCATCAGAAGTATAGTCATGACTTGTGAAACAAAAGATTTCTATAACCAAAGTACACACAAAAAGTAAAAAAATTCTATTACTTTTGAAGCTTGCATTCCCTGTTATGCTTAGTTGATCCTACTTGTTCCTTTGCTTTTGATGCTTACAGTATGTTTAATGTATTTTATTTTGTTATATATTTGTCCTGTAATAGATAAAAGCACAGCTGAATAGCATGTCAATAAGTACTCCTGTTTCCCTGACAGGAACTTATGCTTCAAGTTGTTTCTGACATTTTCATGATTCAGGTCATATTTTATAGAAAAAATATGGATAGAAAATTTGGAATAACCTGTTCAAATTTTATTTCTATTTCTTTAGGTGTACTTGGTAGTAGTATAGCTATCAGGATTTTGTGGTGTCAACATTACCACAGTATTGCACTCATGCTTTAATTTTCTCGTTTTTTTGTGTGGTGGCGTTCATACTTGGGTGTTTAAATTGGGACAATTTGGACATCTTATGAAAATATTTAGTAGACTGTTGCTGCTTAGAAAAAGTGTAACCAGGTCAAGAGGCAGTTCAGGGTTAAATCTGGCTTTGCTCCGTGATAGGGAAAGACAATCAGACAATTCAGATTTACACAAACAGGAACACAATAAAATCTTTCTCAAGTTATGTTTTATGAACTGTTCAGAAAAAAGCCCCATCAAGATAGGATTTCTCAAGCGAAATAAAGATCCTGCCTGCCTGGTTATCATCTTGGTCAGGATAATGCTCTGGAAGACCACAGGCAATGTGTCCTACATTTAACTTGACATTCATCCTCTTCCAAACAATTTTGCTGTGTTATTAATATTTTTATTTCAGAAAGTTGCACTATTATTTACACTTATTTGATTTTAGTTCTGTTGTTTTATGCTTTGCCAATAACATTTTTGATCCTAGTATTTCCTCTACGCAGCAACTTAATAAGAAGACTTTGGTTTGGTTCTTCATGTCACTGTCTTCGTGTACAACCAGATGTAGAAGATTTTTATCAAGCTGTTAGAGAAACTGAGTATTAACTTTCTATATTTCCATATTCTTACATATATAGGAATAAAGTATGAGTGTAAATATATTAATCTTGTATCATTCTTTATTAGACATGGTGTACAACATATTCTTTTGCTATTTGTTGAAAGTGCTTCCCTTTTATCTTTTACCCCTTTCTGTTTTCAGACATGGCTGAAGTCCTCTTTGTTTTTGCTTTCGGTTAAGGTATTGGGTTGACTTATGGTACTGACTTGATAATTTTCAAATTAAGAAAAATCAAGAGAGAGCTCATCCAAACCTCTGCTGAAATAAGTCTTATTCGTTGAGTAAAAAAGAATACATTTGGTCTCCATGCAACAGAGCAAGTCTTAAATGTTTAGCCCTGAAAGTAATGTATTTATCTATTTACAGCATCTGCAGACACAAAATGTAGTTATCATTTTCAAGTATGGCCTGTAAAACGATAGTTCTGGACGGTGTAAAGAGAAGGAAGAATGAATGGAGTTTTTGAACTGACTAGTAACAGAAGTGCCGGAATATGACTCAACTGTGTATGACCAACATGTTCGTCAGCTTTGGAAATGTGATGTAGCAGCTGGGCTTTACTCATCCTCCAAGTTAAAGAGTGATTTTGACATCCGGTAAGATACAGTTATCTTGCTTAGGAGAAAAAAAATGTGGGCGTAGATGTTCTATTTTACACTCTTTGTTAGGCAAAAAACATGACGCCATTACTAAGGCATTAACCCAGTTGAAATTCACCTGTGCAAGAAATATTGGTTTTGGCGATTGCTGTGGAGCACAGTCTACTGATTGAGAGTTTTTTAGTATGTAGTTAAATTGGATTATTAAGGCCCTTGAGGTAAATGAAGAAAAATGTTGGTAAGGATACAAAATGATGGTATTTTACCAACTGAGAATGCTTGATGATGAAATTACTGACTTGATCTTGTAGCACTATAGCAATGTAGATATTTTCAAGTTAGGCAATAATCGGGGGTAATTCATAGTTCATGAAACTGTATATTTTTTAGTACTATGCTTAACATATATATATGTAATTTGACATGTTGCAGTTTCCATGAGATCTTGATTTGAATACTGTGATCTTATTCCTCACTAGGGCCATGGGCCACACCAGTGGACCCTGTGTGTTTCATGCTTCTTGCACACTTCTTCTTTCTTACTGCCAGAAAGTCCATGAGCTGTGGCAGCCTTGTTGTTACAAAAGAGTAAACGCACAACTCTTCCCACATCGCAGCTTCCTTCAGGTGTGTGACGCCGCCAGATCTGCTGTTTTCTTGCTCGTTCTTTCTACTCTTGCTCTGAGGAACAGACGTCTCAGGCAGCTGCCCTCTCGAACCTCGCAGTGATACGGTATTCATGCGCGAGAGCGGGATTGGGATTTGTGGGTTTCACCTGACAGCAGAGGGGTTGGCTCGTCACTACCGTGAAAAGCTGCATTTCTCAGACACGGAAATTCCTTTTCCTTCATCTGCCACTGACCAGATTTGGCGAGGGCAGGCTGTGTCTTTGTGGAGAACCACATTATGCTTTTAGCGAGGATTAAAAGTACAAAAAAAAAAGATTTGAGTGGATGTGTACTGTTAGCCAGTTCAATTTCGTTTTTTTTTTTTTGTTTTCTCTTATTTATAATCCTGCTGTTTAGTACTGTTGCCATGCACCAGAGCTCCCTGCAGCTGACAGTTTTTGGATTTCTGAGACTTATGTTTATGTGGTGAGCCACATGAAATACACATCATGCTCTTATGTATAACCCTGCTCTTTGTAAAATATGTGGGGTAGAATTTTCCATGTCCTTCCTACAAGTCATGGCCTGCCACTTTCACTATACATCTTTTTATTTACATACAGATGCATAAAGATTCATGCTTGAATTTCTTTCTTGGTTGTGAATTCCCATGTAATCATGTTTTTTCACCTTAATTATGAATCAAGCTTAAGATCTAGGAATAATTAGCATTATTACCATTTCCAGGATATTTTGGACATCACAGACAAATGGATCACTGACAGACCTAACATTTGAAAAGTCACACTGGGTAGTCCTACATATTTAAACTCTCAAAGAGAGCTCGGTTCAAAAATCTTGAAGTTAGTTCCATTGCTCTATGTCAAGTCCTACGTTTTTGGAAAGCCTGGTTTCTGGGATCTTGATATCTTCTTTTAAATCCTACTCATACTCTTTTCCTGCCACATTAATGCAGCTGTACTTACATTCTTTATCATTGGTAAAATAGTAGAGTACTGTTGTCTGTATTTAAAATATGTTTGATCTTGGCTTTCAAAGTAATGTCACTGTTAAGCTAGTTGTTCAGTATTTTTGGACAACACATTGATTAACCGTAAACCTCTGTAGTTACTCCAATTTTGTTAAAATGGACATCAGAATACTTCCATGTTGCAGCCTTCATTATTGCTGTCTTGAGCGAATATTTGCTGGGACAAGCATCGAATGAGCCACTGTGCATGTCCACGCTGCCTGGTAGCAGTGTTGAAGTCATCTTAAAGCTTTCCAGTTTGCAATGCTGTATGATGTCATGGAAGAAGCACTTGTTTTCTGACCATTGTAAAATCTTAGTAAATCATAAACATATAATTACATGGTAAGACTTGTACACAAGTGGTTGAATTATGGCTGCGTTAGTTATAAGTTAGTAAGCATTGTTGGTAAATGCCTTGATGCTCAATACATAGAATAGGGAAATTACATATTTTGTCTGGTTAAAGTATAAGCAATACATGTCTTGTTGCTAAATCTACTCTATCTACTCTATAAATCTAATCTATTTTGAAAAAAAGATTTTGATTGAAGCTGAAGTTTAAATCTGTCTCAGTTCTAAAAATTACCTGTTATAATTTAGTTACATTGGTGAATTGTGTACACATATCTTTCAAAATACAGCTTATATTGGTGCATACAAACCGTTATTATTAATCAAATACAATGGAAAGTTGTTTTTTACATAGATGTAAACTTAAATGACAAATTCTTAATCCTCTGTTACTGTACTAGGAATTTGTCTTGATACAGGCCTGCACACCATTTTTCAAAAGTAAATCCTGAACTTGTAGTATTAATTTTTTTTATACAAATGAGTTGTATTGGTATACTGTAAGTCCGGAAGGAAAGTGTTGCAAACCTTAAATGTCACATCCTTTAGGCATTCACTTGTTACAGTGAACAAAAACGTCTGATGTGTGGTACACACCTGACTGCCCACCACACATGAAATAAATTCCAGCATAGTATTTTAAACACAAAAGCTTTGAGATACCATACCTAAACACTGCCAGAATTAAGACAGGAATCTGTGTTCCACAGTAATAGATGCAGTTTTATGTGATGCAGAATGCAGAAGAAAAATAACTTTGTCTTGGCCACTTGGCATATGACAAATGGTTTTGTGAAATGATGTAGGTGGCAATAATTTCCGAGATGATCTAACGTACGTTAACGTATGTTAAATCAAATAAAAAAAATAAATAAATCATTGCATTAAAGTATTAACTAATTCCTGATTCTTGTTTTTCGGGTATGTTTTTTGCATTTCATAATGTGATTGTTCTCTAAAAGGGTCCTTTTGTGAGGTGAGCCCAGTAAGTTTGTACTTTTCTGTGAACATGTTCATAATCATGT